AATTAAAATTAAATCAATATCAATTAATAAAGAAACTTGTTATTTGTCTGATGGAAGTAGGAAATGATTGATCAGTGCACAAAAATAGACATATCCAGTCGCACTAAATATGAGAGACCATCTTACAAGTAATATTTATCACAGTTATATTTCATTTGATTGCACTTACTGATTCCTTTGTATTATATGTTAATAAACTCTCATTCTGGCGCATATTTAGCTTTTCACCATTGGCCCCTAAATCAGAATAGTGTTTAGATAGAAATCTACTAATATTCCAAAAACAAAACAGCAATTTAACTAAGGTTAGAAAGAAAAATGTCAGTATATTTATGATTTTTGCACAAGAACATTCTAGAGTCTTCTCTACTTATGAATTAGTGCTGATTGACCAGAAATAGGTCAGTCAGTATGCTATAACGTATTTCTCTATGGAACATGCAACAACTTAACCCATGTCCTACTGACAGTTGGTAACCACAGAAGGAATACATCGTTGCGCAATTTCTCTTGCTGATGACTTTTTCTGAAGTCATATCTGAACGTGGAGTAAGGCTGGTTTTTGTCTCATCTCTAGAGATATCAATGAGCCACATATCAACTGGTTAGAGCCTACAACTTCAGGTGGATGTTTAGACTGAAACCTACTGTTAACTAGTCTTCGGTTTGAACTTGTACAATTTATCAAACAACTGGCATATTATAACTTAGAATATGAACAATCACTGTTGAACCTTGTCTTCATTCAACGATATGAAGCTTCCGACATTGATTTCTTACCCCCACTGGCGAGCAGCGATCATACTTTAAATATTTGAATAGATAATATACAGTATATGTCTGTCTGTCACACCTCGTCCCAATATCTGGCGGGCTAACATTCCGGTAATCAGAGATTTTGTTGTTTCAATAAAATAACCAGTTAATTGAAGGTGAGTTGATTGAGTTTAAAGCCGCAGCCAATCCGTTCATTCTCTGGTCAGCTCCACGTAAACCATCACGTTGACCTGCATGCATCGATAGAGATATCCGAAAATCATTGTGAAGTAGAGAGCACGATTGGAACTTGGTCTTAACAGCGGGTCATGAATCGTTCAAGTGAGAGTACTGAAAGATTAGGAATTTATGTGAAACGGGTATAGCCAGATCTAGCACTACTTACGAAAGTTGGCACATGAGCCATAATTGCCCAAAACGATTGTTGTAATATGTAGAGAAGAGAACGAAACAGTCAGTCAGCTACAATGTAGAACCAGGCACATATGTACATCCGTCCAAGTTGCCATACCTCATTAGCACAGCAAGATGGACACCAGATTCATAGAAGCAGTTAACTCAATGGTGTAATATATAAAGGAAAAATTGCATATAAGGATATAGTATAGGAAGAAAGATTTAGTACGTACATAGAAAGATATAAAATAATTTTAGTCTCATAGTTTAAAGGAAGACAGAGAGTGTATACACCGGCGACATTGTGATCGATTCTGAGCCATGTTACCCAGAGTCTCCAACCATTGGTTACGATAGTCACGCGGACCCCAACCAAGTAGTCTACATCTACTAACATGGCTCAGACTAGAAGTTAGTGACTTCAAGCACTAATGCCATATTTTGGTTTGGCCACCCCTAACTGTCTTCCAGTCGCCTCCAACACTAGTCCGCATTGCGCGTCGTGGTAATCGGTGTTCAGGCATACGTAACACGTTGCTCAACCATCTCAGTCGATGAAGATTCACAACCTCATCAACTGATTTACCATCGTTCCCTAATACCATGCGTCGAATCTCACTATTACTTCCCCGGTGATCCCAACAGATGCAAGCAATATTTCTAAGACATCTGTGGTCAAATATTAGTAGCTTACGAGTATCTCCTACTCTTAATGACCATGTTTCGTTGCCGTAAATTAAAACAGAACGAACTGCCACGTAGTATACTCGTTCCTTTTATTGATAGACGGATATCTCGCCTTCGCCATAGGTGACGTAAGTTGGCAAAAGCCAAACGAGCTTTTAGAATCCATGCTGATATTTCGTCAGACACCAACCCATTTGGGCTGATCAGACTTCCTAGGTAAGTGGAGTTGTCAACGCGTTCGACTACTTCACTCCCTATCCTTAGTTCAGGTGTTGATGCAGACCAGTCCTGAAGCAACAATTTGCATTTAGAGGATGAGAAGCGCATTCCAAACATTCTGGCATTGTTGCTTAGTGCTACCAAAAGACTCAGCATTTTGTCAGCGTCTTCACCAAACAGGACTATGTCATCTGCGTATTCTAAGTCGATAATTGGACCTCCTGGAATGAGATCAATGCCCGAAATTTCGGTCAATAAGAGCGTTATTTCCATCAGTAGGTCTATGATGAAGTTAGACCAAAATGGAGAAAGTCGACAGCCTTGACAGACAACACTTGAGGTTGCAAAAGCAGATGACAGTTCGCCATAAGCTCTGACTCGACTAGTAGTGTTCGAGTAAAGAGCCTTTACAAGGTTTATGTACTTCTAAGGTACATCTTCTAATGACGGACACTGCCACACAACCTGTCGGTCTCCAGAGTCAAATGCTGCTTTTAAGTCAATGAAGACCACCATTGTCGGACGCCGATAAGTATGCCTGTGTTCTAGAACCTGACGAATGGTGAATATGTGGTCGATGCAGCCACGACCAGGTCCGAAGCCAGCTTGATTCTCTCGTGTTTGCAGTTCACGAGTCTTAGTTAGGCGTCTGATAATTATGGAGGCTAGTATTTTAGATAATATATTAGTCAAACTAATCCATCTGTGGTTGTCACAGGATGATTTTGACCCTCTCTTATATATTGGGACGATCAGTAACTATGACTAGTCAGATGGAATAACGTCTAACTCCTAGATCTTAGCTAAAATATTAGTCAACCTGATCGCTAAAATTGGACCACCATCCTTAAAGACCTCTCGAGCCAATCCATCTGGACCAGCTGCCCTTCCTCGTTTCAGATTAACTATAGCCTTTTGAACTTCAGCTAGAGTCGGGGGACCTACTTCAATGTTCCATTCACACTGTATGGGAATAATGGGTAGTTGTAGAGAGAACGAAACGGAATAATGGGATTGTTCCATTGCTGTTATACGACAATTCAGACGCAGTGGCTGAGTCAGATGCGGCCAAAGCTTAATTTCAAAAACTATTTCAGCTAGGTTTACCCGAGGATATTGTTATTAAAACTCCTCGTAGACACACTGCTGAGACCAGTGCTTGTGACTGAGAAGGCCGTTCTTCCATCGCTTGTTGGCTGCAAACCTGGCTCTGATTGGTTACGATCACGACTGCTGTCACCCCCCCCCCCACGAATATCATTTCAGAACCACTCACAGTGTTGTTCAGCGTGTCTCAACTCCCTAGGGATTGGATGGTATTGTTAACCTTATATTTAAGTATGGAAAGAGACAGATCGTGTCTAACTACATATCTGTTAGTCTATCATATTAGTCAATTTATTTGAGAAAGTAATTCAGGATAAGTTATTAGTTCACATAGAATCATATAACCTGTTAACTTCTAAGCAACACGGGTTTTGAGATAGACATTTATGTTTAACTAACTTACTGACTGTAACGGAGGATTAGACAGCGGACCAAGATAGCGTTTTTTCTGTCGATGTGATATCCATAGATTTCAGCAAGCCATTTGATAAGGTGTCTTAATAAAGCTTTATGCAAAAGCTCTCCAGCCTTGGAATATCAGATAAAATACAAGAGTGAATAAGAAAGTCTCTCTGACCGAGAGTGAAGGTAAACAGTACACTATTTGGATAAAAACTAGTTAAAAGTAGTGTTTCCGAAGGCATCATCTTAAACTGCCTATTTTTTCTTCTCTACGTCAATAAAATTACCATGACTGTTGTCGTCAACAATTACTTGCAGGTAATGTCAAAGTCTGGAGAAAAATAAGTAGAATTGATCATCTTGATCTCCCAGCTAATCCAGGCGAATTAGCTAGACGGTTACGAAATTTGAGTTTGGAAATTATTTCTAGGGAATATGCTAATGCACATTGGACACGGTAATAGTTACCAGTATGCCGTCAACGATACATAGCTTCCATGCATGTAAAACCTTACCTAAAGTATTGCATCCAAACAGTTAATCCATGTTTTACTTAGCATGTTATTACACTCGAGCATCATCAATGTGCAGGAAATAAGTTAGCGATGAATCTTTCCAAACTCCCCTACAATGAGAACTTAAATCTTTCCTCCTTATCTTATCGTGGGACGCGAGGTAACCTGATATTGACATTCCGTATCTTGAATAATGGTTTGTGTGTTAACATATCTTATCATTTAGCAACCCCCCCCCGGAACTAATAATATGAGTGGCCATCGCAATAAGGTTCGAAAACTACGATCAAATAAACTCAGAGTAGGATTACATTTTTCTTATAAAGTGGTCAGTGACTGGAACACCCTACCCCAACAAGTGTTATCAGCCCCATCAGTGAACACATTCAAGAAAAAGCTGGATCACCACTAGAAAACAAGCTGGAAAGATTAGCACAGATTGATCGACATGCTGAACAATCGATTTGTCTAAGTTAGGCTGATAAGAAGGTAATCAATTTGGGTAACTTACCACATGAAAAAATTATTATATTTGTTTCATACAGTTATACAAAAATAACCAAAAACAAACATTCGGAAATATTAGTTTAATTTATACATTGAAATTAAGACGAACAGTAGTTTTTATACATAAAAAATAGAATCTGTAGTAATATACATCTGGTATATGCTACTTGGGCTGACAGATACAAGTAGTATGTATCCCCAATCAGAAGTGGAATGCCTGGTAGCAGGAGATTGAATTGAAGAGTATAGAAAAAAAGTCGAAGAGGAATCGAGATAACAGAATTAAGGAAATAATGTAATAGATAAAGGACAATGCAAAGAAGATGTACAAGTAACTCAATTTAATTATGCATAAATAATTCCATAGAAAACTAGACAATTATTAAAAAACTAATAACTAGATGGCAAAAACCAATGTCCCATAGGTATCCTATGTAAAAATATAGTTCCACAACTTAAAAAGAAAAATGAAAATGCTAGAAAGAAAAGCACTCTTTCTGTAAAACGACGCCGACGAGCTAAAGATGTTAAATGTTTCGACTGATTCATATGTCCAGCCATTTCTTTCAGTTCAGAATAATTCGAGATTAATTTATTTGATGAATTTTCAAGTAATTCAGCATTAACAGCTCCACGTTGAACTTCTTCCGCTAGAAGTCTAGCATACCTCGTCATATCTTGAGTAAGTTCCAATGAATTTTGATATTGTTCTTCTAAATTAGAAATCTTGTTACCGATTTCAGTTCTTGACGAACGATTAGTAAGTTCAGCCTTTTCAACAGTTTCTAAAGTTGAATTGGCTGCAAAGATAGCTTTACGATATCGATCCTGACAAATATTCAAAGTATAAAATTAAACAAGACTATAAATATTATAACTAGAAGACATATTAATACAAACAATACATTACATCCAACGTAAATCTGAGTTACAATTAAACATAATTCATTAATTCATAGGAAATTCAACCCAAATACGATAAAAAGTGACCTTTTTTTAAATGAAAAGAATCTATAAGAATCAAGCAATGCGTATCATTGAGAAGGGATTAAATTTAGAAAATCAAAACACAAAGTTGTATGTTTATTGTAAGATAAAAGAATAGAGAGATATGCTATTCTGTTTTACACAAAAAACAGGCATTGAAACAAAAGATGTTAGGTCTTATGATCATTAACTGAGATATTATCACAATATCGACGTGGGTATCGATGACAGTTTTCGGTTAAGTGAATAAAACTTCTCTTTGAAAAAGTCTCCTGGACAATTTCTTAAGCAATTCGTGCATTTTAAAAGCTTTGTTACCGAATTCTGTCTCAAATTAGAAACAAAACGACTACCTTTTTGTGTTATAATGAACAGAAAATTGACTAATATATAAAGTACTGGAACCATTGAATGATTAGCAACCTGCATATATTTTTACTTATCTAGCAAATTTGTACACGGATATTAATTTATCAAATAAAATGGAATCATTTTCTGACAAATTGTGCTGTATTTTGATATAAATCTAACTGAGGTTTCGATTTCGATTTTGTCTTCGTGTACGATTGTATTTCAGTAACGATTCAAACCGAACCATCTAAAGAACAGCCACAAATGAAATGCATTTTGTTTTGACTGTTAGTCAAGTGTAAAATATAGATGGAAAGAGCTTGTCAACAGAAATGCTCCAATACCTAGAACAACCCGATAGTGTACCCCAACAGTAATTTGCAACACATGTTGTAACTGCGACTGGCGATAAATTCTTTTGACAGCCAACCTAACTGAAATTATCCCAGTAAAAAAGCCACGACAGCCAAGACTTAGTAATAACGAAAAGTAGTTTGGGTTAGCTGTCCGACGAATTTTGTCTCCGGAACGGTATCAATTATATCCGATTGTCACTGCTTCGGCCTTAATCGAACGGTCGAGTCGAGCGTTTTGTTGATACATTCAAAGACTCTCTGAAGACATCTAACGGGCGAGGACCATTGAGATCCTAGGTGGGTTCCTGTTCATCTACTACACTACACCGAACCTTCAATCACCCAATGACATCTTTCTGATAGAAGCTTTACTTGGTAAATAATTGTGTACATCTTTCGATTTTATTGGTCCGCTGCCATCGTATGAACTTCAACAAAACATCTATGGAGAAGCAATTCAAACAACATTATGAAGCATAAAAATGATTGTTTACTGTCAGAAAGTATTTGCTATGAATTACTATGACAAATGCCTTACATGAATAGCCAATCGAATCCTGAAAAGGATAGGTTACGTTATCTATGACGTGTTAGTTGGTCTACCAAATTGAGTATTACACGTTAAAATTTGAGAGCAACTTTACTAGCGAGAAGCATCGTAGAATACTAGTTGATATTTTGTTTGACATCTTCGACATTTAACTATCAGTATTATTTGAGCTCAATCTAGGGCACAAAAGCAACACAATGTCTTTATTGACAAGAATCTGGACAGCTATGAACAGCAGACAGGTCAGTCTGATGCAGTTGGATTGCAACAACATATCTGATACGATACTCAAAGATTAGACTTTACAGTCAGGTCTTTATTGACTGGAGAATGAGTGACTAACAAGTTAATTTCTTCCAATCACTTAAATTTTATCAAGCTTATTTTGTGTTCATAATTTCTATATAAGCAGGTCATTTTCTTACATGAGAAAGCCTATTTATTTGGCTATTAGTAACCTTGTCCTTTTTTTCTAATAATTCGGCGGCTTAAGCCGAAACAGACGGTTTTGTGAGTAGCCATCGCTAGGTCATACTATATCATTGCGTTCATGTACCAATTGGCATTTTATACATTGATTTCGACAATCAAAAATTTCATCCAATTAAACCACAACAGAAAACCTCCCCCCACAACAATATCCTACTAATCTGCTCAAAGATAGAGATCTTAACAGGATATTGTCCTGACTATCGCATGCTCTGACCAAAATCAAATTGGGATACGCTAACTGGTTCACATTTAATCGACCAGCATTAGTGGACGGATAGAGAAGCTAGATTTTTATGTAAATTCTAAGAAAGTTCGAGTGTTTTTACTATAGCATATTCTGGTTTGATTTATTGGGATATACACTGTTTGATCTTCATTCCTATTCTGATTTGGAAAAAGTCTACTGAAACCTAATGCCCAGTGAACACAAGGAAGTAAACGAAAATAATAATACACGATAGTGTAACAGGAAGATGAAGATTATCAGAACTACGTGATATATTACCGCAAAACATTTCGAACAATCTGAACACACATATACTTGTTAAGAGCATATATATATAAATAAAAGGTCAACTAGACTGGAAATGGAGTAAGAGGAGATAAGTATAATAATAAGAGTAATAATAATAATAATAGTAATAATAATAATAATAATAATGTGAACACAATTCGAAACCTGATCACTCTGGATAATAAGTCAATATTACCAAGGTAGGTGGTTTAAGGTAAGAACAAACTGTTTTTGAATACACAAAGGGGGGTTTGAGTTTTCGTATGGCTAAGGCTTCAATAAGCCTTAGTATACGCCCTTTTACACTTTTATACAACACCACAAAAGTCGAGTTTAGATCAATCTTATGGCCTGTTTCAATTATATGTTTAAATGGGAACTATTTGTCAATTGAAGAAATGCAAGGACCTTATGACGATGAAAGGGCTCAATGGGTTCTAACGTTACACCGTCAAGCTTGCGTTAGTGAAATGTGAGATCAATTTTCTCGAAAGCTGTATCGCAAATAATGATTATCCTAAACGTTTCTGGAAGGCACTAAGGCGAAACCACATTCATCCCAATGCAAAAACACTCAAACGTCATGCACTCAATTATATCGATGCTATCAAATCTCGAAAAGTCGAACTAGATCGCAACATATCTCTAAGAAGTCACGCCTTGTTTGAATTGTCGTTAGATGAACGTAAACAATTTGAGGACTATGTTACTAATGTTACGGAAAAACAGTCACAAAAAGCTAAACGTAAACACTTGGAAACATTGCAACACGTAGACGTGATTAAGAAGTTTCCAGAACATCCAGAAAAGTATGTATTTAATCATTCTTCTAATAAACTTTCACCAGTCCAAATACAGGCCTTATCATTGGGTCCGAATTTCTGTAACAGCACCTCCAAAACTAGTAGACTTCATACACAAATACAATTCGAAAACCTATCAAATCAAACTCATGATCTTGTGCCAACATCCCCAAAATATTTTCAGCACTTTAAATCCACATTAGTGGACTGCAGTCATGGATACGTTAATGCACAATGTAGTAAGAATAACCTATTAACTAAAAACCACCTGGATCAGCTAATACTCCTGAAAAGAAATAAGGATTTAATCCTAAGTAAACCTGACAAAGGAGCTGGTGTAGTACTACTTGACCGCCAAGAATATTTGGATAAAATGAAATTAATTCTAGAGGATGGTACTGAATTCTCCAAACTTAAAGAAGTTGATAAAACTTTGCAAATCGAAGAACAGCTAACAGATGTTGTTAAAACTCTTAAGAATAAGGGGATAATAACCCAAGATTTATATAATCACATACGTCCCATGGGTTCAATCATCCCGCGCTTATATGGACTACCGGAAGTACATAAACCGGGTTTACCGTTACGACCTATTTTGGATATGTCCGATTCACCATACCATAGAATCGCCAAATGGCTAGCGGAAATATTGGAACCGGTTAAAAGGCAAGTATCTAAATTTTCTATTCATGATACTTTTCAATTTATTGATCGTATTAAGGACGTTAATACTTCCGGAAAACACATGTTATAGCTTGACGTTAACTCTTTGTTCACTAGCGTACCTTTAACCGAAACGATATGTTATATATGTGAGTACATTGATTCCAACAACATAGATCTAGGTTTGCCGACTGAACACTTGAAAGAACTATTGTTACGCTGTACTTTTAATGTCCAGTTTAGTTTCAATAATGAAATATATAGACAGAGGGATGGAATCGCAATGGGGTCTCCATTGGGTCCGATTTTAGCAGATTGTTTCATGGCAAAACTAGAAAACGACCAACTAAGCTCAATGATCAGTCAATTTCACCTATACGTCAGATATATGGACGACACGTTTATCGTTTGTGACAATAATATTGATTTAGAGGATATTTTACACACCTTTAACTCATGCCACCCTTCTATAGACTTCACGTTAGAAAGGGAACGGGACCAATCAATTCATTTTCTCGATGTACGTCTGATGAGGAGTAATGGTTCTTTAAAAAGATCCATCTTTAGAAAACAAACATGGAATGAGCAGCTAACCAACTTCTATAGCTGGGTTCCGTTAAGTAGAAAGAGAAACCTCACCCACTCTTTATGTTATCGAATACATCAGATATGCAGTAAGGAATGCATTAACGAAGAACTTGAATTCCTCAAGAAAACCCTGACGGAAAATGGTTACCCAGAACGGTTCATAGAAAAGAATATGAATAAAAGTAGTTATGACAAGAAACCTAGTTGCTCCGTTACGAAGAAAAACCTTTATATAAGTCTGGAATTTAAAGGTGATCGAACATCAGACGTAATCAAAAATCGTCTAACAACAACTATTAGAAGAACATTTAATGCAGCTAAACTACGAATAACCTTCACGAGTAGGAACTTATTTTCTGTGTCCATAAAAGACAAGCTTCCGCGTCTGGTCGCCTCTATGTGCATCTACCAGTTCACCTGCTCTTGTGGAGCAAAGTACATTGGCCGTAGCCAGCACTCGCTTTCAACTCGGATACGGGAACATATTCCAGCTTGGTTCCATAAGGGGGAAAGGAAAGCAGTTA